GAGGCTAAAATCTGGGATTGTGATGCCTCCTGCTTTGGTTTTCTTCTTCAATATTAATTTGGCTATTCAGGGTATTTTGTGGTTCCACACAAATTTTAAGATTGTTTGTTCTAGCTTTGAGAAGAATGCCGGGGCAATTTTGATTGGGATTGCATTGAATGTGTAGATTGCTTTGGGTAGTATTGACATTTTAACAGTATTTATTCTTCCAATCCATGAGCATGGGATGTTTTTCCATTTCTTTGTGTCTTCCTCAATTTCCTTCATTAACTTCCTATTGTTTTCAGCATACAGGTATTTTACTTTATATCTTTGGTTAGGTTTATTCCTAGGTATTTTATGGTTCTTGGTGCAATTGTAAATGGGATTAGTTTCTTTATTTCTCTTTCTGTTGCTTCATTATTGGTGTATAAAAATGCAACCGATTTCTGTACATTGATTTGGTATCCTGTGACTTTGCTGAATTCATGTATCAGTTCTAGAAGTCTTTTGGTAGAGTCTTTTGGGTTTTCCATGTAAAGTATAATGCCGTCTGTGAAAAGTGAAAGTTTGACTTCTTCTTTGCCAATTTTGATGCCTTTGATTTCATTTTGTTGTCTGATTGCTGATGCTAGGACTTCCAACACTATGTTAAACAGCGGTAGTGACAGTGGACATCCCTGTCATGTTCCTGATTTCAGGGGGAAAGCTTTCAGCTTTTCCCTATTGAGGATGATATTAGCTGTGGGCTTTCATAAATGGCTTTTATGATGTTTAAGTATGTTCCTTCTATCCCGACTTTCTCAAGGGTTTTTATTAAGAAAGGATGTTGTATTTTGTCAAATGCTTTTTCTGTATCTATTGACAGGATCATATGGTTCTTATCCTTTTTTTTTTTTTATTAATGTGATGTATAACATTGATTGATTTGCAAATACTGAACCAACCCTGCAGCCCCCAGAATGAATACCACTTGATCATGGTGAATAATTCTTTTTATATGCTGTTGACTTTGATTTGCTAGGATTTGTTGAGAATTTTTGCATCCATGTTAATCAGGGATATTGGTCTGTAGTTCTCCTTTTTTGTGGGGTCTCTCTATGGCTTAGGAATCAAGGTAATGCTGGCTTCATAGAATGAGTCCAGAAGTTTTCCTTCCATTTCTATTTTTTGGAATAGTTTGAGAAGGATAGGTATAACTCTGCTTTAAATGTCTACTAAAATTCCCCAGGGAAGCCATCTGGTCCAGGACTCTTATTTGTTGGGAGATTTTTGATAATTGATTCAATTTCTTCACTAGTTATAGGTTTGTTCAAAATATCTATTTCTTCTCATTTGAGTTTTGGTAGTGTGTGTGTGTGTGTGTGTGTGTGTGTGTGTGTGTGTGTCTAGGCAATTGTCCATTTCTTCCAGGTTGTCCTGTTTGTTGGCATATAGTTTTTCATAGTGTTCTCTGATAATTGCTTGTATTTCTGAGGGATTGGTTGTGATAAATCTATTTTCACTTGGGATTTTATCTATTTGGGTCCTCTATCTTTTCTTTTTGAGAAGTCTGGCTAGGGGTGTATCAATTTTGTTTATTTTTTCAAAAAACCAACTCTTAGTTTCATTGATCTGTTCTACTGTGTGTTTTTTTTTTTTTTTTGGATACTATATTGTTTCTTTCTGCTCTGATCTTTATTATTTCTCTTCTTCTGCTGTTTTGGGGTTTCTTTGCTGTTCTGCTTCTAGTTCCTTTGGGTGTGCTGTTAGGTTTTGTATCTGGGATTTTTTGTTTCTCAAGATAGGCCTGGATTGCAATGTATTTTCCTCTTAGGACTGCCTTTGCGGCATCCCAGAGGGTTTGGATTGTTGTGTTTTTGTTTTCATTTGTTTCCATATATTTTTTAATTTCTTATTTAATTGCCTGGTTGACCCATTGGTTCTGTATTAGGATGTTCTTTAACCTCCATGCATTTGGAGGTTTTCCAAACTTTTTCCTGTGGTCAATTTCAAGGTTTACAGCATTGTGATCTGAAAGTGTGCATGGTATGATCTCAACTCTTTTATATTTATTGACAGCTGTTTTGTGACCCAGTATGTGATCTATCTTGGAGAATGTTCCATGTGCACTTGAGAATAATGTACATTCTGCTACTTTAGGATGAAAAGTTCTAAATATATCTGTCAAGACCATCTGGTCCAGTGTATCATTTAGGGCCATTGTTTCTTTATTGATTTTCTGTCTAGATGATCTGTCCATTGTTGTAAGTGGAGTATTAAAGTCTCCTGCAATTACCACATTCTTACCAATAGGATTGCTTGTGTTTGTGATTAATTGTTTTATATATTTGGGTGCTCTGTATTCAGTGCATAAACATTTATAATTGTTAGCTCTTCTTGATGGATAGAGCCTGAAATTATCATATAATGCCCTTCTTCATCTCTTGTTACAGTCTCTAGTTTGAAATGTAGTTTGTCTGATGTAAGTATGGTTACTCCAGCTTTCTTTTGACTTCCAATAGCATGCTAGATGGTTCTCCATCCCCTCACTTTCAATCTGAAGGTATCCTCAGGTCTAAAATGGGTCTCTTATAGACAGCAAGTAGATGGGTCTTATTTTTTTTTAATCCATTCTGATACCCTATGTTTTTTGATTGAGGCATTTATGCCATTTACATTCAGTGTTATTATTGAAAGATATGGGTTTAGAGTCATTGTGTTATCTGTAGTTTCATGCTTATAGTGATGTCTCTGGTCCTTTGTGGTCTTTGCAACACTCAGAGTCCCCCTTAGGATCTCTGGTAGGTCTGGTTTAGTAGTGATGAATTCCTTCAGTTTTTGTTTGTTTAGGAAAACCTTCTATTCTGAATGACAGACTTGCTGGATAATGGATTCCTGGCTGTATATTTTTCCTATTCATCACGTTGAAAATTTCCTGTGACTCCTTTCTAGCCTGCCAAGTTTCAGTACCTAGGTCTGCTACTACCCTTACGTGTCTACCCTTGTAGGTTAAAACCCATTTATCTGTAGCTGCTTTCAGAATTCTATCTTTATCTTTGTATTTTGCCAGTTTCACAATGATATGTTGTGCAGAAGATAAATTCATGTTATGTCTGAAGGGAGTTATCTGTGCCTCCTGGATTTCAATGTCTGTTTCCTTCCCCATATTGGGGAAGTTCTCAGCTATGATTTGTTCAAGCACACCTTTGGCCTCTTTCTCTCTCTTCTTCTTTTTCTGGAACTCTTATGATACAGATATTGTTCTGTTTCATTGAATCACTTAGTTCTCTAGTTCTCCCCTCATGATCCAGAATTTTGTATCTCTCTTTTAGTCAGCTTCATCTTTTTCCATAATTTTATCTTCTATTTCACCTGTTCTCCCCTCTGCCTCTTCAGTTTTCACTGTCACCCCCTCTATTTTATTTTGCACTTCATTTATAGCATTTTTTAATTCATCATGACTATTTTTTTAGTTCCTTGATCACTGCAGCAATAGATTCTCTCCTGTCTTCTATGCTTTTTTTTCAAGTCCAGTGATTAATCTTATGACTATTATTCTAAATTCTTGTTCAGTTATATTGTTTATATCTGTTTTGTGCAAATTTTTAGCTGTCATCTCTTCCTGGAATTTCTTTTGAGGAGAATTCTGTTTTGTCATTTTGGCTAGTTTTCTTTCCCTGTGTTTGAAAAGCCTGTTAGGTGCCCTTCACCTGTGAGCACTACTATATTAAGAAGGGGTCATACACTGTCCAGTGCCTGACCCTTCAAGAGGTGTTTTTGATTTCCATTGTTGTGACTTTGGTTACTTTATCTCCCTACTTGTAGAGATATATTAAACCCTCCACTAGGTGTGCTTTGATTTGTTCCTTGAAGTATCCCTGGAAAGGAAAACAAACAAACAGAAAACAAAAACACACAAACACACAAACACACAAACAAACAAACAAAAAAAAAACCCAACTAACAAAAAACACCAGCTACAAGTAAAAAACAGGGTGGAAGCAGTGCTGATGGAAGAGTCCTTATCCCATACAAAGAGAGAAATGATAGGCAAGGAAAAATAAAAATATATAAATTGACCAGACAGAGAACTATATGGCTTAATCCAGAGAGAGAGAAAGGAGAATAAAGAAGGAGATGTGGAACATGTATCAAGAGAATAGATTAAATATGTCTGCTTAAACCAAATCAACAACCAGAATAACCAGACTAGAGGAGAGAAGAGATAAGAAGGAGGAAAGAAAGAATATATCTGTATAATAAGAATTTTCCAAGAATTAAACCAGGCAATACAACAGCACTGGTCTAGAGCAGGGGCTTCCTTGTTTGTCAGCGTCAATCCCTCTCCAGTAGATAGCAGTTACCAAGTATGGAGGAGCGCGGTTTGGTGTAGGTGGGTCCTGCCTCCACTGTAGGCCCCACTGTCCAATACCTGAGGTCCCACCTTGGTGGTGGTGGGGAGAAAATGACAACACCCCAGTCTCTCCTCCGCAGACCTGGTGTCCCACTCTATTGGAGCAGTCCTCACTATGCTGCAGGTGCAAACGAGGCTGTTTGTCCCACTCTACCTACTCCCATGCTCCAGTGCTTGGCTGGGATTCAAACTCTCACTCTGCATGCCCCAATACTGGTGAAGCACCGCTCCATGCCACCTGATATGTGGTCCCCAGTTGGAGGAGGCAGGAAGGCTTTGTTCTGTGCCACAGCACTCCAGGGAGAGGATTGCTTTCTCCTACTGCGGACTGTGCCCCTGGCCTAGTCAATGAGCCCGGGGATGCCTGCCTACCCCCATATGCACAATCAGAACAGCCGGATCCAGTCTGGAAAAAGGCCCTCAGAGACTGGGCCTTTCTCCGTCCTGGTCCATGGTTTTTCTCTTGTCCAGGTACAGTGCTATGCTTCCCCAGCCTCTCTTTCTCTTTCTTCTGTCTCTTCACAGAAGGGGATCCCTCCCCTCTGTTCACTGTATCTTTCCCAGTTCACAGTCACACACCTATGGTCCATCAGGTTGTCCCTGTAGGTCCCTGGAAGCCACTGCATCTTTGTCTCCCAGACTCTCAGAGTTTAAAGTCCTTTAGCTTCAGCACTGCTTTGAGAGATGAGCGAATTTTGGATCCCCTACTTCTCCGCCATGTTGGCCCCTAACTTGTCTTCTTCAAGATATTATTTTTCATTCAAAGTTGCATTGATAGGATGTTTAATAAAAATTATATACAAATGCTTTGATTCAGAGGAAAAATCATCATAGTTTTTTGGGACACTTGGGTGGCTCCAACTTTGGCTCAGGTCATGATCTCATGGTTCACAAGTGCCAGTCCTGTGTTGGGCTCTATGCTGACAGCTCAGAGCCTGGAGCCTGCTTCAGATTCTGTGTCTCCCTCTCTCTCTTTCTGCCCCTCCCCCACTCATGTTCTGTCTCTGTCTCTCTCTGTCTCTCTCTTTCTCTCTCAAAAATAAATAAAACCATTAAAAATTTTAAAACATTAGCATAGTTTTTTTTTTTTTTATAAAAAAGAGAAAAAGGAAATGGTTATCTCTTCACTGCAGGTTAGAACATTAATTCCTCTTTGTTACCAATTAAATATTTTCAGTTAATGCATGCAGAGGGGACTATTTGTGCAATAGACAGGTAATTCTCAAGCTGAAATAGGTGCTGCCTCATGAATCTTTTGCCCTGCTCAGCCTAAGGTTAACCTTGCTTGTTGACGAAAATCACTATTACCATGGAAATAATACCATTTTTACCCTTGCTGCTACCGGTGCTGCCTATACTATTGCAGTGAGGTTTTCTAAGTAGAGCAAAAAGTAGCTACTCAGAATTAGATTGAACTATTTAGGCGAGTAAGCCCTCAGTTGAAGTCCCCCTCCCATTTAAATGCATAAATTAAAAAGCATGAAAATAGATATTTTCAAAAGAAATCAGACAGCTGTCAGAAATATTTTATGCCAAATAATACATTCAGTGATTTTTCTATTTGCAGGTACCACTGCAGTGCTTTCCCCCAAATAGGAAGAAGGTCTAGAATCTATTTCATTTCTCTACAAAAGGCCATTTTATCTGTGATATAATGACAATTATTTCTTAATACTGGTGGACATAATTTAGCTGGTCATGCTTTAATAAGGTTTCTATCCCTTGATATCATCCATTTTCACTAATGTCCTTGGCACATGAGTTTTTTAGAGTTTTCACCAACCTCTTGTCTATCAGTGATACATGATGCGATTTATGTGCAAAAATTCTATTAATATTAATGAGATTATCTCTCATAAATCTGATGTTATTGCTGATAGAGAAGATTCTGGAAACAGTAAAATTCTTTACATTAATTAGAGAGCAAATCATGTTACTTTGTCAAGTATATACATAAAATAGTTAAGTAATTAACACGAGTAATTAGTCAAAGTCATGAAAATTCTAATCATTCTGATAATAAAGAAGGTCAGGTGCGCCTGGGGGCTCAGTCAGGTAAGCTCCTGACTCTTGATTTTGTCTCAGGACATGATATCTTGGTTCGTGAGTTGGAGTTCCGCGTCGGGCTTGGTGCTGATGGTGCAGAGTCAGCTTGGAATTCTCTCTTTTCTCTCTCTCCACCCCTCCCCTGTTCTCTCTCTCTCTCTCTCTCTCTCAAAATAAATAAATTAACATTTAAAACAACAAAAAAAAAAAGTTCAAACCATTACCATTAAATTCCAAAAACTCTTCCTTTCAAGTCACTTGCTCTGAACAGTGTGTGAACAGTACCAACAATATGTCCTGGCTGGATTCTGTGTGGAGGACTGGTTATTGCTGAAAGTCTTTATTTGCATGTTATTGAACTGAATGGAAGGCACATGCTACTGTTTCTTATCATGCCTGCTGTTTATTCTTCATGTGAAATCTTCTTTGGCCACATGTCATTCTCAATTCAGAATTTAAAATTTTATATATACATTATTGGATATTGGCATTTTTCTCCTTGTACAATTAAAATGATTTTTCTCTGAGAATATAATCAATATGGAAATGGTCATTACAATAGTTGTCATTCATTTATCATTTATCATATTTTTAATTTTTTTTTTCAGAGAAAGAGCACAAGCAGAGGAGAGGGACAGAGGAAGAGAAAGAGAATTTTTTTTCTTTTTTAATTTAAGTAATTGATTCATTTTGAGAGAGAAAGAGAGTGTGGAGGGGCAAAGAGAGAGAGAGAATCCCTGTCAGCTCACAGCCCAACATGGGGCTCAATTCCACAAACCATGAGATCATGATCTGAGCTGACATGAAGAATCAAATGCTTAACTGACTGAGCCACCCAGGGACCCGTATCATATTGCCAATAAATGTTCATTGAGCAACATTTGTTATTTACTAGTAAATGATGGGGATATAAAGAGATTTCTCTGTTCCAAAGGAATCACAGTCTACCAATAAACGTAGACATGCAAAGTAGCAATGCCAATATGTAGTGCTGATTGTGCACCACGAATTATGGAAGTACAGAGGGAAGTAACTTCCTGCACTTTTGGAGCAGACAACATAAATGACCTGGAGAGAGTAGCAATGGCTGAAAAGGGAATCTCTGCATATTCTTATATTCTAGGTAACTGTGTTTTGGGGGCAGTAAGGATTTCAAAATCCAGATATGGGAATTTAATTAATAAGATTTAAAAAATCAAAAAGTCAATTCTGCCTTCCAAAGTCAGTTCAAAGGCCACTGTATTAGTTTCTTATTGCTGATGTAACATGTGACCACAGACTTAGTGGTTTAAAACAAATCAAATTTATTATCTTGCCATTCTGGAGGTCAGAAGTCTGAACTGAAATGGGTCTTTTGAGACTAAAATCAAAGTTTTAGCAAGACTATATTCCACTTGGAGATTCTAGGGGACAATCTATTCCCATGCCTTCTCCATTTTTGCAGTATAACCTGTATTCCTTGCTACTTGACTCCTTCCTCCATCTTTAAAACAAGCAGTGCAGCATCTTCAAATCGGGCTCAATGGGGTAATCTAAATTAACCTTCCCATCTCTACATATTTGACTTGATCTTATCAGCTCAATCCCCTTTTCCATATAAAGTAACATTCTCAAGTTTCAAGAACGAGATGCAAATACCTTTGGGCATCATTTTACCTACCATAGTCACCTACTGTGTAGTTTCATATCATGTCCATTCCTCCACCCAGGGTTAACTTTTCTTATTCTGTGTATATTAGTCAGCCTAATATGCCAAAATAAAATAACACAGACTGGCTGGCTCAAATAACAGAATTTATTTTCTCAGAGTTCTGGATGGTGGAAGTTAAAGGTCATGGTGACAACAGAGTCATGTTCTCTTCATGGTTTGCAGATGGTCACCTCCACATGACAGAGAGGGACCTCTAGTGTCTTTTCCTCTTAATTTTTTTTTTCTTAATGTGTATTCATTTTTCAGAGAGAGAGACAGGGAGCAAGCGGGGTAGAGGCAGAGAGAGAGGGAGTCACAGAATCTGAAGCAGGCTCTAGACTCTGAGCTCTCAACACAGAGCCTGACGTGGGGCTTGAACTCACAAACTGCGAGATCATGACCTGAACCAAAGTCAGATGCTTAACCAACTAAGCCACCCAGGCACGCCTCTCTTCCTCTTCTTGTAAGGGCACCAGATCCACTAGATGATGGTTCCAACCTTATGACCTCATTTAATCTTAATCAGTTCCTTAAAGTCCCTATCTTCAACACAATCACATGGGGGAGGGGAATTAGGGCTCCCAGAATCATGTACATATGAATCTTTCCTGTACTGTAATTAACTGATTTCATATCTCCCTTAATTAAACTCTGAGATTATTAAGGGTACGGTACATGCCTTTTTAATACTCTAAGTCTAGTGCCTCAAAAATGACAAATGTTTGTCTCACCAAAAATTTTTGATTAAGTGTAGAAAAATCATCTCAGCTATCCTTAAGAAGATAAAGTTAACTGCAAGTAAAATTAACTGTAATGAGAAATCACCATCACAGACCACAGGACAGACTATGATCTCAAATAGCCTTGGTAGTGGGAAAACCACTAGTGGTACATGTACTTGATTAAAATTTACTCATGCCCATTGCCCCAAATATCTCTGCTATTTCTAAATAACCTCTTCCATTTATCAAAATAACAAATGGCAAAATAATAGAGAACCGTGCCATAAAAGAGCAAAGGGAAAAGTCTTATGATCCAAATGAATAAGCTTTTAACTCACCTTCCAGATTATGGTAATTGCATTTATCAGAAACCATTTGGAATTACAAACCTTCACATCTTGATCTCAATTATGCTTTCCCCTCTGAATTCACTTTAGAACTTTAGAGTGTATGATAAATTCAGCATCATAGGTACTTCAGTGCCTTAATAAATAATAATTTAATGAGCAATTTCAGGAATACATTAAAGTATTTTTTACTTGATTTTATGAACCAATGTATAAATAGAAATGAAATTATAGCACTAAATTGCTATTGAGAGTAATTACTTCTTATTTATATCTGCTAGTAGCCAGAAGGTGTTTTATATCTCTTATTAACTTCTTTCAGTGGACTAAATTTAAATCAGAATTAGAATCAGAAATAAGAAGACTGTCTTTTTATTTTTATCTTATTTAGAACTAGAAGTAGAAATAGTCATATAAGTAGAGAGATTTTCTGTGAGAGATTTGTAGTATAATACTAGTCTTCTTTATTTGTGATATTTGAGATAAGTAAAGCTTTTCATTCTACCAATTCATTATCCATTGTCATATTTCATACAAGATAAAATTTATATCAGTGTAAACATTGACATAGCATTCATTGTAGAAATAATCAATATAGTTGGCACGTTGCATATCTATAAAATATTTATTGTAATACAGGTTAAATATGATTGCCCCATAGAAACTGTATTTTAATAAATGTTTAAGAAATAAATTTAATAAACTATAATTTAATAAATGTTTAAGAAATAAATTTAGCAAATTAAACTATAATTTAATATATATAAAATTTACTAAGGGAATTTGTTTGCTTTATGAAGCAGAAATTTAGTTAAAGAAAGATAATAAAAGTGTATTTATCTTAATAACTGAACACTTCATAACACACAATAGGAACACATTTGGCCAAACTTTAATGGAAGACCTATCCAGTTACCTATAA